CCCTTAGGCTTCCTTATCAGCACCACATGTCTTGCTACAAAGGCTACAGGTAATAACATCAAACACTCAACTTTCAAAGAGTTTACCCGTTTCCACAAGAAGAATCTATTTTTACTCACAAGTCTTTAATTTGTTTGGGCAAAAATTCCCCTTTGGTCATTAATTAAAAGGATTTCAGAAATTGTTGAAAGATGAGAATTTATAGCCAGCACTTCAAATAATGAAACTACATGTTTAACAAAGCAAACATCTTAGAGAATGACGACAGTGTGATGTCACAATGTTTGGTAACTACTAGGCTGTAACACTTTAATCACATTTTACACATTTTATAAGCCAAAATTCAAAAGGCTGCCAAATACAGAAAGTTATCCTGACACTGTGTTCAGGCTGTTCTTTGTGACTCTAGGTCTTTATGTTAATTATATCTGATTTCTTCACAAAATCTCAATATTCTAAGACCATATGGTTAAAGTGATTTGAAAACTGTCAACGCACACAATATGGCCCCTGAGAAATGCATTTGCTCCCATCAGATTCCTTACAATGTCCAACCTGCCCATACATTACGCGATAATTTGCAATTCTTTCCCATCTTGAGTATTATTGAACACATCAATATTTCAAGCATTATGTCTCATTAGACTGGCAGCATTATCCACCATTTGGCCATTGCCAGTAATTACCTACTGACGTTCCCGGTTCTGTTACCCAATGTATTTTGTTTTGTTTATAGGCCTTGTGACACACCACTTAGTAACTGACTACGGCATAAATCACCAAGACAATAAATGAGAGCTATTGTGTCATTAGAAGATGGATCAAACTGTGGACAAGAACAAAACAACTAAGCCGATATTTGCAATCCTTTACTGCATTAGAACTGCTCAGAAGTTCCATTAGGAGCAGCTTCTACACGCAAAATGATTCTCATCAAGGGCTCTGCTGTCTAACCAGATGGCCCTAATGCTGCATAAATAATGTAAGAAGCAGCGTTTTACCACACTGTCAATCCATATTCATACTGAGTGATATTATATGACACTGTGGAATGTATGTACCGTCGCTGAACATCTTTCATTATCCAGTGAATTATACACTCGTATCTCCAGTCTTGCACACCCTGGACCCTCTCACCACCAAACACTTACACTTCTTATACATTCAGGACACATAGGCCACAATAATCTTGGCAAATATTAAACAAAAAGTCAAGAGACACATTGCAGCTTCTGGGGGAATAGAAGCTTGGTCCTTGGCCTGACATGTGAACGCTTTAACAACTCGACTATCCCACCTATCCCTTAATAGTAATAAAAGTCAAGAGGCTCTGTAGCTCACTTGAAAATTGGTTTACATGAGCTTGACCTTATATATTGACAAATCAAAATATAATCCATTTACTATAGTTTGTTTTGCTTATATATCTTATGATAGTTACTTTGATTTCCTATCTCCCCTTGAATCTACTCTGTGTTCCATTTATCTATTCATTTGTTGTTTGTATCCCTGTATGATCCCTGAATAGTTTGGAAATCTATTTCACATTAGTATCTTTACTTCTTGTCTTAACATATCAAACTGCTTCCATTTCAAAGAGGATTTGTCTCTCTCTCCCATACTCAGTCTCATTCTTCTCTCTCTCCTTCCTTCCCAAATTGCAAACATTTTACAGGCCATGTTATCTTTTAAGGAATGAAAATACTGCTTCCATTTATGTTAAAATAATGATCATATTTCACACAACTGTATGCACTTCTTATCTGATGATAGACAATATAACTTTCTCCAGACCAAGCCTCTCTGGAACGCTATAGTTATTTTATTACCAGACCAAGTCCATGTTTCCCTTCCACAGATATCCCAATAACTTGCTGTTCATGTTAAGTGTCCATGACAAATATCATGTACTGCTTCAGGGCATTAACAACATAGGATATAAACCGTATGTCTCTACCCTGTATCCCATGGCTGGGGAATAACTGACACTAAGGAGCCAGAACAATGATACTCTCCCTCCCCACTGATTGAACACGGGTGCACAGGTGATACATGTGTTGATGTAGACATAGTGTTGGTACAGAAGGGGATGTTGATATACAATTTGCCCAGATATATCCCTACAGATCTGTCCATCAACATGAGTGATAGCAATACATACACACCAGACCCCAGGCGCCAACCAAATCAGTCCTATTTGTGACTAAATTAACCCTGGAGGCCAACGCTTCCAATGGTGTGGCCCCAAGGCTTTGTTACATAATACAAGAGATAGATGCGTAATTAATTACTCCATCACTTTTGTTGTTCTTAAGGGATACACTGATTTCTTCTGTGCAAATGTGGTCCCTTAAATAACTGTTGCCCTTCATGCAGTTCAGGATGACCTACCGACCTAAGGTGAAAGATTCATACACTTTGTATACACGGACTCTCAGACTGAATCGCTACAGAATATGAGCAGATGTTACAGCACTACAAATGTACAAAAGACGATTTGAGTGTGTTTTGTTCTTACACTGTATTAGTGAGATGTTGTCCTCAGTGGGGATTCTGGGTTAGACTGGGTCAACCAACGCTGGTTGTAGGAGGCTACTGAATAAATCAGGCTTGGTTACATGGTTCATAGTGCGTAACTAGGCAACTTGAAATATTTTGACAATATCGATCACTGGATTGTCCTGTTCAGCTACCATTATAGAAAATCGTAATCCCATATATGACTCAACCCAACAAAGTACTAGAATCTGTACTTTACTAAGAAAGTGTAATCCTAAACATCACATGTGTTACATTTGACAACTTTCTAAAATAGCATTGTATATTCATACCATTATGGAGCTGGAATATTGTTGTGTGTTGTGAACTTTTGTTAAGTGTGGTATTAAACAACAAACAAATGAATCTATTGAAAACCTGAATGATTAGAAAGAAATGGAGGGAACATTTTGTTTTGTATTATATACTGTGAATCCTGGGAATAAACTATGTTTTATATGACTACATACAAGGGCAGCTAAGTGCATTTAATGATCCTGGGGAGCATTCTGTCAATCAAACAAACAAACAACACCTGACCTCTGCAGGGTGTTAAGTCAATTGTAAGTATTCATTAGCAGTAGGTCACCAGTGATGTCCATGTGTCAACAAGGTGTTCAGCCAGTGTGGAGACCGACTTGGTCTCTTCAGTCAACACAGTCACAGTCTTCATCACTGTACACAGTGTCCGTCTGCTTGACACCGATGGGTTCGATGGGTTCGTGCTACAATTCACCTGGAGAATCTCAGCACTCCAGCGTCTGCCTATTCAGTCTCACCAACCTGGACAGAATTGCAGAACCTCCTTTCTTCATTTAGGGCGTGGGGTAGCTTCAGTTCAGTAGTACACTGGTAACCCAGGGTACATGTCACACTGAATACACATTCAGGTCACACCACAGAACACACTGGGTTTAAATGGCTGGACGTTTGTCAGTGTGCCAACATAAGCTGTTTAATGTCGTCTTAATTATTTCGACATAGTTTGCAGGGGGTTAGCAACAGACAGAGCTGCTCCATGGTGCGACAGACAGAGCTGCTCCATGGTGCGAGTGGGTGGTTCGATCACTGGGTGCATGGTACTTGTTGTCACCCAGCCTGGCACTTGGCATTAGGGAATCAAACAAGGACTAGTGGAATACACATGTTAAGCTGCAGCATGTTATCTCACTGAGCCAGCACTATTAACCAACACTTCTGCTGAGTTACTGATATAGGTTTTTATAAAACTGCTTCAGATGTTATTCAACACAATTACTGGTATACACAATCACAAATATTTATAGCTCTGTGAATCTCAGGGACATCAACTATTTCCATACATCTCTCTGGAGACACTAACATTGCAACATATCAACACACCAATAATCACAATACAGTGAAGAGTATCTAAGTAGGAAGTTAAATACACCAACATTCGGTACAACTGCACCGCAACATGTCTCAGCTAGTTGGATCTCACACAATCTCAGGTGGGGAGTGTAGTATAGTGGCTGAACCCGAAGTATTGGCTTGCCACGGTAAGGACCTGAGTATTAAAAACGTGATGGTCTCTGGAATATTGCTTTAGGCATCTTCACTCACTCTGCCATGCTAATGTTACACCATATGTCCTCTATTTCTCTATAAATTCTCTTCCACTTTGGATAAGCTTAAACCCCCCTCTGAAAGCCAGGCTGTCAACATACACCTGTAATTGACTACAGTAGACAACATCTAGATGTAACTTGATGACAGCTGAGTCACTATGACTGCTTCATCTAACATCATACTATACAGACACATTCAAGCACCTGATAACACACTTCAGAATACACAGGTACAACCCAGTATTATCCTTGACACATCTCCAGGTGAGTCAACAGTGTCGTCACAATTACCAGGTAGAATACTGTGTTCACATCCGTATTTTCAAAACAACCATTGAGGTGTAACCTCTCAGTGAGGTAACATTCCTAAGTGATTCCTCCTCACCTGATATACCACCTAAAGACACTCAGATGTCATGTATTATGTTGGGGACAATGTTGTATGTGAGATTCCTCCTCACCTGAGATACCATCTAAAGACACTCAGATGTCATGTATTATTTTGTGGACAAAGTATGTGAGGTCACATCGAGGTCAGAAAAATCTGACCTGAATGTGTAGTCAACATGCAACAAAGGCAGACATAAAACAAAAGCTGCTCTCAGAATTGATATTCATATACCTTCAGTAAATATACTGAGAAAAACAAATAAAGGAATGCAGGAAAATTCAAACATTCCTTTAATATTTTCCAGTTTTCATCACCAGCTTTCAATAGCACTCTGGGAGGAAGTCTGAGAATAAATAAAGGAACACTGCCATGAAGTGGTGTTCCTTTATTTGTTTCCCTCAGTATATATTGAGGAAACAAAAGAATTGGTTCTAAAATAAAATGATTTGAACAAAATAGGTCTTATACAGCAGGTAGCCGGAGCATGTGAAGTGCTATTAAAAAACGTGACGTAATGCCGGCGGATATTACGTGGCTCTAAGCTTAGCTGCACGTGAGGCAAGTTGGTAACGTAAGTGGAAGTGAATTCAAGCGCGGGAATTAGATGGTTGACAAAATCAAAACAATGGAGAGGTTAGAAATTGGAACGAAACGGTAACGCAGCCCATAACACCATGCACTGAAAAAGTGTATTAAGTGAGAACTTCCTGCTGTATATTGACACGACACAAGACAGCTCTAACAGTGTTAGAGAGAAGTGTCAACTATAATAGTGTTATTTTATTTTATTTTGTTTGGTTACCTTGTGAAATGACATGTATTTCTCTTCTGTTAGGACAGGAACACCATGCATTTTCCTAGTTGTGTAGACTGTTGGATTTTCAGTTGCACAATTGACATACAAGTTGTTATGGCTAACTGTCCTTTGAGCTTCGATTGTATGTGTATTCAAAACAGCTGTGAGATACACGCGGGGTGCTGTCATGTCATGATTAGTCTCTGAATATATATAATTTTCATTGTAAGAAACAAACCCATTTAAATTGAAAAGGAGGAAGGCAGACTATGTCATGATATACATTTCAGAATACAGCTGTAAACTAGCAAAACAGGAATTTATACTGCTAAAACATGCAAATGCTAATATACTATACTCAACAGAAGTTAAGGCACACATAATTATTTCATATGTCTATAGATACAATGTATAGACATTGTTCAAAACAGTAAACATAGACATTCTTGTTTTTTAAAGTATTCATGTGAAGGAAAAGATTTTAAAATCCCAGTAAACATTTTTCAAATAATGGAATCGTTCATATGTTCCCATATATTTTTCTTGTTTTCAGGTGAACTGGACCAGCTCCATGGCATGGGGACTATAAATCAAAACTTCACTCTACCGTCAGTCTCAAGTGTGTGGTTTAGCACAGTGCAATATCTCACCAAACAAACAGGTCAATGTGACATGACAGTATATTTCAAAGATTCACTTAATGTGCACCACCATCTCACCTGCTGACATCAGTTAACACTAAAATGGACCATGTGTACTGTTATCAGAATCTTACCCTGAATCAGACCACACCTACCCTGATATATAATGATATCAGACCACATCTACCCTGATATTAACTGACACCAGACCACATCTATTCTGATATATACTGACACAAGACCATATCTACCCTGATATATACTGACACCAGACCACATCTACTCTGATATATACTGACACCAGACCACATCTACCCTGATATATAATGATATCAGACCACATCTACCCTGATATTAACTGACACCAGACCACATCTATTCTGATATATACTGACACAAGACCATATCTACCCTGATATATACTGACACCAGACCACATCTACTCTGATATATACTGACACCAGACCACATCTACCCTATATACTGACACCAGACATCTACCCTGATATATACTGACACCAGACCACATCTACCCTGATATATACTGTCACCAGACCACTTCTACCCTGATATATACTGACTCAAGACCACATCTATTCTGATATATACTGACACCAGACCTCATCTACCCTGATATATACTGACACCAGACCACATCTAACCTGATATATACTGACTCAAGACCACATCTACCCTGATATATACTGACACCAGACATCTACCCTGATATATACTGACACCAGACATCTACCCTGATATATACTGACACCAGACCACATCTACCTTGATACACTGACTCAAGACCACGTCCACCCTGATATATACTGACACCAGACCACATCTACCCTGATATAAACTGACACCTGACCACATCTACCCTGATATATACTGACTCCAGACCACATCTACCCTGATATGAGACACCAGACCACATCTGCCCTGATAAATATGGACACACAGACATTGACATATATTTACGTTCCAACTTTTCAGAAGACAACAACATGTACATGGGCGTCAGCTTCCACGACACCACCTTTAACTAAATATGGTGGACAATTGGTGTATACAACATCCACTTGGGACACATTGATCATGATGTTTGCAGAGACTATTTAAACATGCAAATACAGCCCTTCAACAGACATAAACTGGGTAGAACTGAGTTGGACTGTATTGAAATCAAGACTGGCCCAACATTCAAACATTAATATTTAATGGGAGAGAAAACAGATTATACACGAGATATGATGGTGCCAGGATTTAACTACTACCGGTAAACGTGAAGTACATGTCATTTGCATAGGAGTCGAAGGAGTGAATGATCTATTCGAGAACGTTTCGAGAATAGCTAGCTTGGTTCCACTTCAACAGTGTGACCTTAGCACTAATACCATCATAGTGTCTATATCTAACATAACCATCATCACCATCACCACCATCACCATCATCATCATCATCATCATCATCGTCATCCTCATCATCATCATGGCGATAGTTTTATGCAACAGGCAACTGGGTTTCTGCAATGCCCCAAGTTTTCAGAATACTGTTGAAATTATTCTTGTCATTTGGGCTCAACCAACATTTTATTATTGAGCAAGATATACAGACAGGTAGTTTACAGTAATGCAAACAAGCAGAATGATTGATTATTTTGGAGTTACTGGGCTTGCATACTTAATACTGGTATTTGCTCAGGGATTACTTGTCTGGCTTGTTATTGAATGCACATGACTAACAAACACCAAGCTTAATACTTTTGCAGATGTAATTTGGTATTATTTTTTGCATTATACTTTAAAAATCATCCAAACTCAGTACTTAAAATTGCCCAAAATGTCAAACAGGGAATATTTCTTCCAATCAGCTGCTTAAAACTATGCAATCACAATCATTACCTGTGCACTAGTATTGGGAATCAGAAACCAAATCCACTACTGATTATCGGAAGACTTGTGGTGAACAATTATCAATTACAATCGAAATATATACATTTTTAATGTAATCACCAATTTTAGGGTTTTCCCCACATTTTTTTATAATAATTTTTAAAACTAATACTGTCATGCAATGAAATGCATGCATGCAAGAAAGACACTGGAATTGTAATTAAACAATAAAAGTGGTTAAAATTTAAATATTTATCAGTATATCTCATTACGTTCACAATAGATGTATTCATAGACAGGTTACAGTAATATTTACCTTAGTGATGAATATGAAACTATGATTACAGAACGCATAGCTTTACACTGCTGAGTGTATGTTCATATGTGAATATTCGTCAAATTTAATGGTTGGTTTACTTCATTCAAGTGTGTTATACAAAACAACAAATTTCTGATTAATTGAACGATGTTTTTTACAATCGATAATTATTTTTAATCCTTCTTTCGGTCGATATTCAGTTATACTATTCACACTTTGCTAAATATCAGATCATTGATTCAACAGAAAACTATGATGTGGCTGTTTGCCTGAAGAAGGGTCACCATACTATCATTTATCCAGATATAAATGGATAAAATTTCATATTACAAATCTATGTTTAAGTAAAGTGTGGAATTTTTGTGATCCTTAGCAAAGTGTGAGTAGCATATTTTGATCATCGGAACACCACTACTATACACCTATGGAAAAAACCCAAGTCACAGTGTCCTAGCAGTGTCTATGTCCCTACTGAAGCTGCAGATACTGAGTCTGTAGTAGACGGATTATGACATTCGTTCTTGTAGGAAGGAACAGCTGTAATTCTCAGAGAGAGTGAGTATGGTTTTACGCTGCTTTTAGCAATATTCCAGCAATATCACGGCGGGGCACACCAGAAATGGGCTTCACACATTGTACCCATGTGGGGAATCGAACCCGGGTCTTCGGCGTGACAAGCGAACGCTTTAACCGCTAGTCTACCCTACAGCCCCTGGAATTCTCAGAAAATTGTTCCATAGACATGTATTACACAGTTGTAGCATTCATAATGAGAAAAAACATCTAAATATCTTTCTGATTACAAAACAACTTGTAACATCATGAGCTATGATAATTAGTATGTAACACTGTTTTCACACACACAGTCACCTGACATCATGGGATTTCATCTGAACCATAAAATAGAAATATTCAGCGTCACTCTGTCACATAACCTAGTGATATGAATAACTGTGAATTCACATAACTGCAGTACTGACATACAAGAATATATACTGGTGAGTCATTCTAAACCAATATATATCCTCAACTGGAAGAAGAAAATCGTAACACATGACTTCTTTGGAGAATCATATCAAAACATTTGGTTGTGATATCTAAGTATGTTTAATGCAGATGTTGAAAATGCATTGAATTTGGCACACAAAACACTCGGTGAAGCATGCATACTGAAGATATTTATACATTCAATTATGTTTGCATTGACATTCCGTGTGGACAAAAGTTACTCCACATTGAATCTCAGGTGACCTGTATAGGACATTACACCTTCTGTAGGACACATTCATGACGTGACATATCCCATATAAATCAAGGTGTAATACCTGTCTGCTTAGCTATCATTTTTACATAAACATGGGACTCCGCTTTTCTTAAGCCAGGAATTCTGCTGTATGGGGAATGATTCCAGAACTTTAAACAAACAAAGTTCCTCTTTTCAACAACATTGAACATATTCAAACTCATCTTCGGTTATCAAGGGCATAATATATCTCTTCCTTTAGGATAAAAACCTTGGACCAATTTGACACAATAGTTTTGTTATGGAAGTCATTTCTTATGCTCTCTTATCACAACCTTGTATCAGAATTTCTTAAGCTCATGTAATTTAAATGATCAGATTTCTAAGCATTGAAAATTTCAAAACTGGATCAAAATAAAACTATGTGCAACTGGGTCCAGGGTAGCTATGGTAACAGAATGGAGCAATAATACACTGGATCATCCAAGATGATTCAAACAAGGAAATTATTTAGTTGATAACATCATACTGTTTTCAATACATACTTTGGACACAGACACTTAATTTGGACCCCCATTTTTCAGATGATTCTGAGGGGCGGTGGGATAGCCTAGTGGGAAAAGCGTTCGCTTGTCACGCTGAAGATCTGGGTCCGATTCCCCATGAACTGGTAATGTAAAGCCCATTTCTGAGGTCCCCGCCGTGATATTGCTGCAATATTGCTAAAAGTGGCGTAAAACTAAACTCACTCACACACTCAGATGGTTGTGCTAGGTGAAGTGAGGTACAATGGGGGGTTTATGGCATGTTCAAGACGGTGGCACTTATACTGTGCCGTGTAGGAGTCTACTTGTGTCCAAGGTTTTATAGTGCTAGCTGTCTGAGGTATCATGCTTCAGTGGTACATGGATACCCCACACACTTCAATACAGTCAATCTGATCTGAACCAAGCAAGTACCTGTTTTTAACACGGCAGGTGATAAATATAAAAAATAGAACTCTTGTAAATTATGTCAAAACATAGCATCAAACAAGGGCAGAGTGAATCATCTTTGTTTTCTAGTTTTGATTTAGGTCACAGCGAGTTCCACTAACCACCTGATTGACCCATCCCTCCACAAGCCTGATTGCACTATACAGGAGCATGCATGACATATATACCATTCTCCTACAAGAACACGATCCATAACTAAAAGCCATACAATCACAACCAGCATAGGAATTTGCATAAAGTTTCCTACTAATTAGGTTTTACAAAAGAGTTTCTAATTGCTACTGTAACATTATGGCATTTTCTGGGAATAAATCCATAGTAACTGATTAACCCTTTTAAACTTAAATGTAATGTAAGGTCATATTTAGAATTAAAGCCACACTTACTAATATAACCCTATCAATTAACAAAGAAATCAACTCATAACAAAATGTTAAATCTTAAATTTAAAACAAATTTTACTTGTAGATACAGACATAAACACTGAGATAGTCAAAAGAATATATCTTAGAATAATGTTGCTTGCATCTTTTGGGAGCAGTGTATCCAGGAGTAGCATATAAAACATGCATTACTTTGTGAGTGAGTTTAGTTTTAAACCACTTTTAGCAACATTCCAGCAATATCACAGTGGGGGACACCAGAAATGGGCTTTACACATCGTACCCATTTGGGGAATCAAACCCAGGTCTTCAGCGTGACAATGGAACGCTTCAGCCACTAGGCTACCCTACTGCCCCAGCATCACTTTGTGGTTTGTACCCCCCAATAAAGTAGAGGCCAGGCTAGCTATTCTCGAAACTTCGTAAGCCTAACGAACTTCTTAAGCCCATTCTTAACACATTGGCTACGATCAAAGTTAAGAATTCTTAGGGCTACGAACGTTTCGAGAATAAGGGCCCTGGTCCTGTCGGAGGTTCATCAAGAAATGATGTGGATACTGAAAAACACACATTTTTTTCTTTTCATATGACCATAGTTAATAAGAAATGGCAGATTAACTATATTTGTATGACAAAATTGGTGTTATCTTACTTCAGTAGAGTAGCATACTAGCATTGTGGGATTCAACTTCATTTTACCCGTGAAGGTCCGGGTTAGAATATTGAGCATCTAACCCATGCTTGGGGTGGTCAGGCTCGCTCACTTGGTTGACACATGTCATCGGTTCCCAATTGCGCAGATCCATGCTCATGTTGTTGATCAATGGATTGTCTGGTCCAGACTCGATTATTTACAGACCGCCGCCATATAGCTGCAATATTGCTGAGAGCAGCGTAAAACAAAACTCACTCACTCAACTTCATTTGGACACATACAGGGTTCATACACTCTTAGACTGACCTAACACTACATTAACAAACATTACAACAAAATAACAAACTTCACTAAGTTAATTCAAATTTTGGTTTAAGTAAGAGTTTAGTTGTCACGTTATGTAACCAGGAAAAAACAATTGTATACAAATTAATTTTCAATGACTTCATAACATTTTTATATTTTCCAAATCTGTACCTGGACTGGGGTACTCAGACTAAAATTTCATGAATTTTTCTAGATTTTACGACCCTGAGAAATCCTGCACATGATGTATGCATTGAGACAACAAAAAATGAGCTCCATATATATCTTGTGTCTCCATTCCTGCAATGTGACACAATTATTATACTCATGTCACCTGGTAATAGAGATACTTAAAACTGTGGAGATGAGAAATGGGGTATTTCTAACGCTCTAGGGGTAATGCAGATCTACTGATCCTGTATTATAGATGAGGTGTATTAATTGGTCTAGCCTGATTTATGTAATACATGTAATATGGAGGTATATTTCAAACTGGTCATAAATACTCATGAATCATACCATATTTCTGTAATAATTGCTCCAGGCACTTGATGAAAGGTGGCACTCATCAGAGCACTGAGCAGTACAGAACAAACTGACATCAGTGGATCTACAGGACTTCAATAATGGCCACCAGGCAATTTCCCTTTTATATCCTACTGTTTTTTTGTGAATAATCTGCAATACTCACAACCAGCTAATCACTGTCATATATATTTTCGGGCTGTGTAGACTTGTAAAGATTACAAATTGGTCTAGAAGTCAGGGCTGATTATTGGAACAGGGCCATAACACGGTGACCATTTCTGGATAAATAAACATCAATAAAATGTTCGGGAAATATTGTTTATGGATAGTATGACTGTTTTGTGTCATATGTATTCATGATGTTCAATTTGATATAAAACCAGCAGCAATACATCCGTTTTATGTGAAGAGGAAAAAATGGATTCATGTCCTCAATTTCCGATGTGCTTACAATATAAGTAGAAATCAACAAGTGATCATTGAGTACATTTAGTGACGTATTGACAAACGAGGCGTGTCTGACAATTGCTGTAGACAACAATATTGATTCATTGATTGTGCCATTTCTAAACATGACACACATTAGAAAACATAGCATTATTAATAACTGAAATATGAAAATTTCAATTTCACCTAACTCCTGGTTTTCCTGTTACTTATTCAGAAGAGTCAGGATTATTCAGTGTGTGTTTACACGATGACTCAGTGATATCGTAACATCTTACTTCATGTTAAACATCCCTGATCTAATAATCTCAAATGACCCCTAAACTAATGAATAAGGTATTGACTCGTGCTATTTGACTTCACCCCAAGTGGTCAGCAATATATCCTCACTCATCCGCAAAATTTACATCAGTTCAAGGACCGTTCAACAACCTGTCAATTGTACCTGCAATAACACCTGTAACAGATAAGCCGTAACAATCTAAATGGTCCCTCACCTGTATTGCTCCTGCCCAGCAAAGCCAGAATAATACCCATTTTGGGTTCCTGAAGCGTTGACAGCAGCTGGGTATGAATGGTCCCCATCCACACGACCCCCCATCATCATCAGGGGTGTTTTTCTGGACATAGGTCTGCTCATCAGCGGGAGACACGGCATTCTTCGAGTCGGCCATGGTCCCTTCCATGGCTGTGTAATCCACAACGGGGCGTGCTTTAAGCTTGGTCATGGTGAGCGATCTAGGTCAGGTTACTCAAGCGGCAATTTGACAGGTAGACTTCAGGTGAGATATAGATGAGCTTTCTTACTTAGTAAACATTGCACCAACTAATCACTTATGTCGTCACATCTATTTGACATGAATACATTGTATTTCATCACATGTATACATTGTATATCATCACATGTAGTCTGTGTCGGTGAACATATATTGTATTTCATCACATGTATACATTGTATCATCATCACATGTATACATTGTATTGTCATCACATGTAATACATTGTATTTCATCACATGTATACACATTGTATATCATCACATGTATACATTGTATTTCATCATATATCATCACATGTATATTGTATTTCATCACATGTATACATTGTATTTCATCACATGTATACATTGTATACATGAACACATTGTATTTCATCACATGTATACATTGTATTGTATTGTATTGTATATAATTACACATTGTATTTCATCACATGTATACATTGTATATCATCACATGTATACATTGTATTTGTTATCACAGGTATACATTGTACTTTTCATCACATGTATACATTGTATTTCATCACATGTATACATTGTATATCATCACATGTATACATTGTATTTGTTATCATTACATGTATACATTGTATTTCATCACATGTATACATTGTATATCATCACATGTATACATTGTATTTGTTATCACATGTATACATTGTACTTTTCATCACATGTATACATTGTATTTCATCACATGTATACATTGTATATCATCACATGTACACATTGTATACATTGTATATCATCACATGTACACATTGTACTTTTCATCAAATGTATATATTGTATTTCATCACATGTATACATTGTATTTCACCACATGTATACGTTGTATGTACCTCATGTATACATTGTATTTCACCACATGTATACGTTGTATTTTATCGCACACATTTATCTACAGTCATCAGACCAGTATACAATATATCAGATTGATCAACATTTACTTACATGTCCAATGATCACACCACTAACAGTATGATTGTCAGGTGTATATATCTGATGTCATGAACATTTACAAACACAATGCTACTGTTAAATGATTACAACGGTATGTTGGTTGATTGGTTTGTTGTTTAACGCCGTATCAACGGTATGTAAATGATGCAAGGCATAGAGTGTTATGTAATAAAATACATCAGATCATTATGACATTAAAAAACAGTACAATTCTACAGTCACGTTCAGATATGTGAACGACATGGCATTATAGTTTAAACATATTCACTAAAAACGCTTCTGTGTCAGTCAACAAGCCATAATGATATTTCGAACCAAATCTGATTGAATATATAGCAATATAATGGGAAAACTGTACAGGTACACCTGAATGAAAAACAAGGAGATTTTCTGTCAGTCATATCTGAGTTCTGGTGTTGTGCATGTAACTTTACAAAATAAATAACAGGTAAAATGGCAATCCATAAAAACATTTTTAAAAACAGTTGTTTGTATGACAGATTAACTGAGTATGATCAAATGTATGCATATTTGAAGGTACCGTTTGTATATGCATACAGATATTCCATACATATTTATACATGTTTGAGGCTGAAACAAGACTCATGTTTCTTTACATGGTCTTCATAAATCTTACATCAAGCTCAATACATAACATCAGTCCATATCATAAATCTAAAACCTTAATATTTCTGATATCTTAATCTCAAAATATTTGTATAGCAACAAGTAAATCTATAATTTATGTGTCAGGTCATGTATCCTATTACAGATATCTGATAAACAGTTGTACATGTCAACAGGCCTGTGTGGAGTTTTCTCATTTAGTGACACATAACAAGGCTGTTAAAATATGACCTGCACATGTAACAAGAGAGCAGTATGTCAACATGACCCTATGGAGTAAGTGAGTGAGTGATAGAATGAGTGATAGAGTAAGTGATAGAGTGAGTGATAGAGTGAGTGAGTGATAAAGTGAGTGATAGAGTGAATGATAGAGTGAATGATAGAGTGAATGATAGAGTGAGTGATAGAGTGAGTGATAGAGTAAGTGATAGAGTGAATGAGTGAGTGAACATGTGACACTCAAATTGTTTAATCTACATCATTTGGGGTCTTGTTGAACTAAGAAGAACCTTAGTCATATCGCTGATTATCAAACTTCCTACAGGAAACCGAATGTGATCCATACACAAAACATGGCCATACAAAGCTACCCGGGGAAAATCCCATATCCATTCATTGGGTTTTAATTCTCATACACAAAGCAATGGAAAGAATTGAAAGAGCAGGTACATATAAACTACAAGAGTGTCATGAGTCTTGAGAAAACTAGGTACATCATGGAATACACAACGGTTAGTGTTTGTTGGGAATAATAGGACACTCTAGTACAACAATTGGTACCTGAAACCATGTTTTGTCATTGATAATATTACACAGATTTTCAAAAACAACCCTAACCATGAAGGTGACTTTACAAGTTACTTCACTAACATCTCATACTGTCATCTTAATGTGTGAGAGGAAAGTCTGAATAAACCCCCTCCTGTTTAATGTCGCACTTAGTAAAACACAGATTTGTTGATGACAAACCTAGCATAGTTTTATTGAATTGGAATTCATGACAAACATATCCTGACTTTGCCAAAGGGATGTAACTTTGGACAGAAAATTGCAGGCATTCAATCACTTGGCTACTGCCTGTAGCAGGGGTGCTCATGAACTCACGCAGCTGATGTAAATATTGCTGCATCAATGGTTTCATCATTTGTAATGTACATGTCCAAAACAAAATTATACCACAGTTCATGTTACTAGAAGTGCGGTGAAGTATCCTTCCAATATATAGAAAATGTGTCGGGAGCTTTAGCAATGACGACTGAAAACCAGATATTTTGAAAGTGAATTACGCCATTCCACATCTTTGTGCAACACCTTTCAGACATTCGTTATTACACGTTTGCAGTGGACATATAATCCACACTGGCAACCAGATGTTTCTGACTGTATTACTGGCTACACTCAAAGACTGTAGCTAAACAAATATACACGTGCATATCATATTCCTAAATGCTGATCCTATCATAAAAAGATTAATTTCATGTTCCTCAGCTTTAACCAAATGATGAGATAGCAAGTGCTCATATCTAAAGCTTAAATATAAACAGCCAATTTCCTCTCCAAACAGAATGAGTTGAATTTCTTTTAGATTTGTTTTTCCATAAATATTTACACGTGAAGTGAAATGTGGTCAGGATTTTAACCTCGGTGTCGAAAGCAGGCGTAACTTGAGCTCATGTATTACGTAAGTCCAGCCAAATGTTTGTGTTTTGCAGATGGGCCTTTTTTTATGATTGCAATGTAACACAACAGGAGCCCATTTTGTGAATTGTTTGAGTGGCATTCTAGAAGTTCATGACCAGGTGACCAAACTTGATGGATGACCAACTTCTTTATGTTCACAATAGCGACATTTCGGTGTAGCTTCTTATATATACTGGCATATGCTTGAAAATGGTATAAGAAGCCATACTAAAATGTCGGTATTGTGAAAATACAGAAGTTGATCATCAAAATTATTTTGTCATCTCTAGCTCATTTTGCATTGCAATATTCCTACAGTATTGTGTTGGGGGAAACCAAACTTGGCATCATGCATTATAACCATGTGAGGAATCAAATTCTGGCCTTCAGCATCACGAATGAGCTCATTATCCACAGGGCAACACTGACACCTCTTAAATACCATAGAAATGTAGTGAGTGAGTGAGTTAAGATTTTATGTCACATCGGCAGTACTTCAGCCATCTTGTGAATAACCACAGAATGTAAGCCTGATTAACTTAACCATATGATTAAATAAGTAAAACAATAGAATATGAATTTTTAAAAATAAAAACAAATATACAAAGATGACACAAGAACCGAACCATGTGTTTCATTTAGCCTTTTGCAGATTGAAATAAATAAGTAACACACAGACAGTTTGCTTAATATTTATGATCTCAAGATACATGTGTCAAATACAACTTTAATAAAACACATTTAAGTGTGCATGCAGCTGCAGGTGCTTGCTGCAACATGGTACACTCCTGCCCCATCATGTGACACCACTACAACATCACCTGTTGGGGTTGATACCCACCAACAGGCTGTCCTGATAAAGTCATAACGTTATATTCTCACTCTGCACATCAACATTTAATGTAAGGCTACATCACGGTATATCAAGGAGACCAATTTCTTCACCACTTATTATGTAAAGCGTCATGGAGATAAACAGTTTGGATAAATATTGCTCATGCAACTGGAGAACATAAAATATGGCTTTTAATGCTGCATAATGTCCATTTCAGGCCCTTCATCTTTAGTTGGCTAATACAGAAACAGGTGTTGAATTACTGTGGGCTGTGACTTGAAGCTGTCTATATATTGTATAACTGAAATGTGTGGATGATTCAAGTAGTCTGAATGGTTCAATAATGTTGTCTGAATGCTTTCATAGTTTGTTTCTGAATGGTTCAATAATGTCTAAATGTTTTCACAGTGCTGTCAGAATGGTTCAATAATGTTGTCTAAATGTTTTCACAGTGTTGTCAGAATGGTTCAATAATGTTGTCTGAATGGTACAATAGTAATATCAGGATGGTTCCATAGTGTTGTCGGAATGGTACAATAGTAATGTCAGGATGGTTCCATAGTGTTGTCAGAATGGTACAATAGTAATGTCAGGATGGTTCCATAGTGTTGTCAGAATGGTACAATAGTAATGTCAGGATGGTTCCATAGTGTTGTCAGAATGGTACAATAGTAATGTCAGGATGGTTCCATAGTGTTGTCAGAATGGTACAATAGTAATGTCAGGATGGTTCCATCGTGTTGTCAGAATGGTACAATAGTAATATCAGGATGGTTCCATAGTGTTGTCGGAATGGTGCAATAGTAATTTCAGGATGGTTCCATAGTGTTGTCGGAATGGTGCAATAGTAATGTCAGGATGGTTCCATAGAGTTGTCAGGAGAGTTCAATAACATGATGCCTGTACTTAAACTTACCTAACATGTTAGTTAACTACAAAACACCATACATCAAACTAT